CACTCGTATTCATAGTCCTTCCTTATTTTAAGGATTGAGGAAGTCTCCATGAAGGATTCCTCGATACTCCAAGACCTCCTTATTTCATAAACGAATCTCAAGTCTGCCTTCCCGAAGGAAGGAATATTTTAGGGATTTTAGTAACATATTGATTGCAGCATGTTGTAATATATAGTATATGCAAGTATATATATAATATGCTAGTCAAGGATTTACACCTCGCACCAGCAAACAATTAAAGAAATGTTGGGATAATATGAAACAAAGGTAAGTATTATATAGCGATTATATAATTAGTCAGCCTATCCCAGTGAGAAATGACAATGGAATCAACATCAAATTGATGTCGATTCGACGTCGATTCCATTGTCATTTTTCACCGAAATTTTGTCTATTATATACTTTTCTCAAATATACATCTTTTCTCAAGTGTATACTTTTCTATGTATCTTTATAATTGGTTTCTATTATATTTTGATACTTATTATTTTATTAATTGATCATTTCAGAAAACGAAAATTAAGCACGACGTTCCGGCATGAACGGCTTATGACAGGTGGAGGTCCTGCGTCAGTACAGCCGAATGATCCAGTGATGGAATTTATGGATGCAACCAATCAAAACTTAGATGTAGAAATTGCTTGTGCATTTGATAGCACTGCAGTATTTGAAAAAGAATGTAAACAGTATATATGCTAACAGCAATTAAGATAATAATTATTTTTATTTTACATTACGGCAATCATTTTTAACTTTTTACTTTTCAGATAATGTAAAGACGGATTGTAAGTCTACGAAAGGAACATACATCATCCAAGATGAAAGTGAGAATGAAGAGGAAAATGTTATCAATACAATTGATATATATGATCACAGCGTTCCAGCTATTTCTCATAACACACCATTGAAAAAGAGGACAACTTGAAATATTAAAAACATAAACGTGAAAAAAATTTACGAATTAAATTATATTAATTGTTAATATTAATGATTTCGTTGTCATTTTAATAACATTACTGATAAAATATCGTAATGCATTACATGTTAAACTTTACATATTACAACGTTAAATAAATTCGACGTCAGTTGACAAGTATAAAATGAAATACATAAATGTTTCAGAATAAACTCTTTTGCTTCAACTAAAAAAATAATCTTTATTTCAATAAATTAATGATAACGAAATATTATAGTAAAGTAATTGATTTTCAGAACATTCGTGACGAGAAGGAATTAAGAATAATAAAAATAAGAGAAGCAATCGAGCAGCAGAGGGAGCTTCATGCTGCCAAAATGAAGATTGCTGAAAAAGAGGAGAAGATCGTCCTGCTGAAACTTTTAAAGGAAGAAGAGACGATCAAGCAAATTGCATAATATTATAAGTATTACGAGTATTATTATTGTTAATTGTATAGTATTATATTAATATTATATAAGACTGTGTTACTTTCTCTCAAACCGAAAGACAGTTAATTTTTATTTGTTTGTTTATGAATTGTATAAATTTAAACAATATGTATAAATTTATAACAACAATATGTATAAATTTATTTACTAAACTTTTATTCACATTATTAGAACATGATACTTGTATAAACTAAATATAAAAAATAAAAGTGGTTTATAATATTATTTCATAATTATGAAAAATGTCTTAAAATAAAAGCATTTTTATGCGCAAGTCCTATTCCATCTTGTTCTTCATTTACAATATTCTCAAATATAGGTTCATTAAATTCCTCTTCAATTATTTCGCCTAGATTATGTTTAATGCACACATTATGCAAAACGGCAGTGGCGCAAATAATTGCCACTGATGTGCTTAACTTCGTGCGTAAGCCATAATACAGGCATGGAAATCGACGTTTCCAAGATCCAAATAGCTGTTCAACGATAACTCGCGTTTTCTTATGTGCGATATTGTATCGAACTTCTGACTCTGTTTCAGGTCTTAAAACAGGTGTTAGTAGATAGCTGCGGCACGCATATCCACTATCACCAAGTAGAATTCCGTCCAGGTGCTTCAACTCGAAACGACAGCGCAGACCGCTTCGATCAATTCAATCTTAAAATGTCACGAACCAATCAGAGGGCCGCATTAGCATCTTAAGACATTACTTAAGATGGTCTTGAAATAAGACTCGACTATGAATACCGGCCTTAAGTAATGTCTTAAGTCGCTAATACGGCCTTCTGATTGGTTCATGATATCTTAAGACTGTACTTAAGACGGTCTTAAATATAAAATACGACTATGAATACCGGCTTATGTCTATGAATTCTTATTACATCTGTGGCTGCGTTTAGCAGAGAAAGCAGCTTTGCAACTGTGTAAAATTCTTGAATACGATGGGTTTATACATTTAGATCCAATGAGGATCTAAGGGCAAGACCAATCATATTAAAGAATTTTACAACAGTTGCAAAGCTGTTTTCTCTGCTGAACGCAATCTATGATGCAAGCCATCAGCTTTGACGCCATATTGGAGTAAGATTTAAAACTTTTTTTTTCGTTCTCGGCATAAATTCTACATAGACACGTATTAACGCGTATACGTCAATCCTGAAAAAGGATTTTTTAATCTGTAGAAGAGGAAAAAGTAATTGTTATACAAAAATTATTGCGTTTAGTTCGTAATACAGATAATTTAAGAATGATTTCAGCAATTTTTAGCGATTTATTTCCATTGGGACACAACAAAAAAAGTGCATATTGCTGTGTAGTTGACATCCACTTCTTCAGAGAACGATAGTGCGTATAAAAACTAGCGTATAAAGTATAAAGAACTTTTTAACCAATCAAAGCAAAGTTCACTAAACTTGAGATTGATTTTCTTTCTTCTGATTGATTAAATTCCAGTCCTGGGTACCTATTATGGAAATGTTCGGAATAGATTCCGATCGGAATTATTCAATTATTCCCTAGATTTATATTGTGTTTTTTGGGGAAAACGAAATAATTTCTATCGGAATCCATTCCGAGCATTTCCATAAAGCGGGGTCTACAATAGAAGTCGTAGTAGTCGTAGAGTCTTAAGTGGTAGAAAATTAACCAATCACAGTAGAATATGAGAAGAATAATCGACTACGATTGGTCAATTTTCTACGACTTAAGACCCTACGACTGCTACGACTTCTATTGTAGACCCCGCATAATAGATGCCGAAATCTCAATCGCGATCTCACTTGGGGCGTTTTTTTGTTATCCAATTAGAAGCTATCACAACCAAGGCTATCTTCGTCTTTAGGAATCAGAAAACGAAGATAGCCTTATGCGGGGTCTACAATAAAAGTCGTAGCAGTCGTAGGGTCTTAAGTCGTAGAAAATTGACCAATTACAGTCGATTATTCTTCTCATATTCTACTGTGATTGGTTATTTTTCTACGACTTAAGACTACGACTGCTACGACTTCTAATGTAGATCCCGCTTTAGCCGTGGTTGCTTTTGGTCGTACAACGAATAAACGTCATTGATACGTGTATTAACTAGTAACTTTCTATTAAGTCGTTTTAATTTCAACAATGTATCTAACGAATGATGTACTAAAGTGGTATAATATACATAAAAATGAATTTAATACACATATCATGTATACGTTTACCGCCAAAATTGAAATAATTCAATAGAAAGTTACTAGTTAGTATCCGTATCAAGTGCGCGATGTAAACTAGGCCATGGCCTTCATCTTTGATTTGCATTGTACGTGTTCTTTTATCAGCTCGTTTTCTAAATTTTCACCAATCCCTACACTCGTATCTCGCAGCTAAGCGAAAGCGCGTACCAAATTGATGCAGCCAATGGATATAAGCTCGAATTCCATATGGTGACTTCCATGTCCATCGTTCGAAACAGCACAGTTGCAGCTTAAAAATTAGTTCTATTGTATTATTGCAAATAATTAAGGCCATATCATCTGTATAGTCCCTGTAAATTTTTTTGCAATATAAAAATGAATGTTATAATTACTTATCTGGATATAAAAATAAATACTAAAACTGTATAGGGTATCCCAACTTTTTGACATATCGCTTGTGGATAGGTAGAGCAGACTTAACGATTCTAACAGAGTACAAAATAATCTCATATTATTACACACATGCATTATATATATATATATATATTTTTACAATAATTACAATATATAAAATACATTACTCAACAAAATTAAAGGATTACTTGTTCCACTCTGGAAAAATAGGCAAATTTCGAGATAGAATAATTTCGTCAAAAATCATCGTATCGAGATTTTTAAAAAAAGCATTTTAAAGCTTGAAATCTTTACTTTTCAAATCTGTACTTTAAAAAACCGTATTACTCATATGTCATAAAGTTACACAAACATAAATGAAGATGCATCAAATCTCAAAATTTTTTACGAAATTTGCGAAGTTCCACGGAGCCAAGTAAAAATTGTACATAAATGCGGTCTACATCTTTCGAAAGAGTGAATCTTTACCTTCACATACAAAAATGATTTGAAGTATTCAGAAGTTAGCTTTAAGCTTTAAAACGTTTATTTCAAACGTTGCTTTGTAATTATTTTTCACAGAAATACGTAAACCTTGATTTTGACCTTTTTAAAGCTAATTCTAAATCTTTTAACTTCAAGATTGAATGACCTCGTAAAAAATGATCGTAACAAAATTTTTAAAAAAGCATTTTAAAGGTTGAAATCTTTACTTTTGAAATTAGTAATTGGTATTTCAATCCGACTGATCCTTTATGGAGCTATATGGACACAAATGGATACCTGTTAAATGTGAAAATTTTGTACAAATTTTACAAATGTCTATGGCGTGAAGTAAAGATCACACAAAAATGCGGTTTACAGCAATCGAAAGCGTGAATCTTTATCTTCAATTTACTTTTTTATAGACCTCTGTATCATTGAATAAAAAGGGTCGTTTTTGCTTCAACGTTGAATAACTCGGTGAAAAAAAATCGTACAAAGACTCATAAAAAAAGAAAATGAAGGTAAAGATTCACTCTTTCGAAAGATGTAAACTGCATTTGTGTACAATTTTTACTTGGTTTCGTGGAACTTCGCAAATTTTGTAAAAAATTTTGAGATCTGATGCATCTTCATTTATGTTTGTGCAACTTTATGAAATATGAGTAATACGGTTTTTTAAAGTACAGATTTGATTGAAAGTAGAGATTTCAAGCTTTAAAATGCTTTTTTAATAATCTCAATACGATGATTTTTGACGAAGTTATTCTATCTCGAAATTTGTCTATTTTTGCAGGATGGAACAACCTTTAATTTTGTTGAATAGTGTATTATCCTTATTCATATTTGTTGAACAATGAACTTAAAAAAATTGTGTACTCTCATAATCATTATAATGTGACAAGGTAAACATCTTTACAGATTATTTTTAAAAATGGTTTGTACCAAATTATTATATCTATTTTACAAAGTTATTTAAATTAAATCAAACTAAAATTAAATTCAAATTATATTTATAATTTCTAGCTTGTTTTGCTTGAGTTACGTTTCTTTGAGCTTCTTTCACGTTTAGGAATAACACCAAACAGTGGATGCCTTTTTCTTAAATTATTAGGGAATTGTACGCCAGAGCTCTCGGTAGATACCGGCTTTACTTCCGGGGCTTCAGACAATTTTCTTCTCACTGACAAGAAACCAGCTGGCTTGATATTTACTATACAGGAAATATCAATATTAATATAAAAGGGAATAATACAACAAAGGAGTATGTAAAACTTCTCTTTTAATTTCTTAATAAAAAATTTTTTACCAGTTTTGTACTGTGGAGCATCCTTCTTGGAATTAAGAACACATGTGACATTGTGATTTGTGTTATGAGCGACTATATAATATCGTTCGTCTTTAATTTTGAACTTTGACTTGTTTTCGAAAACTATAGTCTGACCATGAAGCTCTTGTGGGTCTACCTACGTAACACAAGATTATACCCTCAATGCCTCGAAGTATTAAATACATAGTATTTATTAAATATTAAATACATAGTATTCATTTTGCCAGTTCAATCTTACATTCAAGATTGTCTTAAATACAATTTTGAAATATTGTACTATTCCAAACAACTGGTGCAATAAATTAAAGTAAGACAGGTACAGTTTGTTTCACTCTAACTTACTGTACGAGATCAGAACCAGTTTAAAATTCTTTGAAGAAGAACAGATTTACGGTAAGCTTTTAATTTTTTACTCTAAGCTCTGAGCTGATCTTAATTTGCTATAAGCTAAATTTGCTCTAAACTTTATAGTTGAGATCTAACCAGTTTGCCTAAAACTTATTATCTATTCAAATAAACATATGCATAAAGAAAATTATTACAAAAAATTTAAGGCAGTGAGACATAAGCAGTGAGGAAATTAACATGTTGGATTGGCTACTGTTTACGTTATGGCCTTATGGACTCTACTGTGATTGGTCAATTCGCTTACTGCTTATGTTTTACTGCTTCAGTTTTTTTGTGTGCCATGCTCTGTACGGCTTAAGGTAGTATTGGAAACATTGTTTACCAGAAAAGCCACAATTTAGAAGTTAGAACAAAAGGTTAAAGAAATCTACCTATTATAAATTGAGATATTAAAATTGTTCTCATTACTTAAGGCACTGACGAGATACTATTAAAGACTGTTGGCCCTTGGCAAATTTTCGTGACTGTCAAAGGGACAAGCAAAGAACAATGACATTACTGACAACTAATAAAAATTTACAATTATTAACATAAATATTTCGATAATTATTAAATTGATTTTTTTATTATATGAATGCTGCATAAATAAGTACGCATACTTTTAATGCTATATGTTACACATTGCCAAAAAGTTACAATTTTTTTTCTACAGTTATCATTTTTATTGATAATCAAACTAGGATGATAACATTAAAATCACAGTTTTAAATAAAAATCAAGTATTATTAAGTTTTAAACATATATATATATGTCTATAAAACTAAATCATGAAATTAGTACTGCATTATCAGTTTTTTACTTTTGGGCTGCACCAACATTACTTTGACCTTAAACAAGACTTAAAACTCTGTCTCTCTTTTGCTTTAAAACAAGACAAAAATAGTTTTAATCCTTGCTTAAAGTCCAAGTAACGTTGGTGCAACTGAGCCTTAATGACTTAAATTTTAATAGTTACGCGAACAGTCCATAAGCACCAACCATCTTTAATAGTATCTCGTCGGTGATTAAGGCAATCTTGATTACAAGATTAAACTATGTTCCTTTCATTGTCTAGACTTACTAATCTAGGAATGTCCATTATCCAGATTTCTTCACTGTCCGATACATCCTCCAAATTAAATGTGGAAGATACATTTTCCTCATTCAATGTCTCCTTTTCAACTATTTCTTTAAGCTAAAAGATAAATAGACAATCGCACAGACTTGTTATTTCACAATTAAAATTATACTTAAATAGAAATTAATTATGTAGAAATGAATATGTAGAAACTAACAATAAAAATAAAAATAAAAATTGAAATTTAAACGTAATAATGATCCACTTACAGTACGCGGTCTGGGCAAAACTGAAGTGGATAATGACAATCCATTAAATGTCACCTCGTTAGATCTATTAGCGTCATAGTTTGAGGTTTGCGCAATCTCATCCGTCGCGTTTTGGTCAAGCGATTTGTTAGATTTCTTCAGAATGCTTTTGCGCGATTTAACAGGACTGTTACGCACTTTGGGCGGCTGCTCTTCTGTCTTAATCGTGATAGATTTACGCTTGTGATTTGGAGATGGCATATCCTCGGCGTTCTCTATCAATACCATCGACTTATTCAATTGCGTGTTCAGTTCCGTTACCAAGTCCTCGTTAGCGGAGTCTGTCATTTTTTAAAAATTGTCCTAAATTATGGTGTAAATTATTCGACAAAACGGTTTCACCAAGCATAGCAGTAACACACGAGCACAGAACATGATACTTTTAACAGGTTATATTTCGTTCCGTTCGTTCTCAGTTTCGCCTCCGGCCTCCTGCCGGCGCCCTCCGGTGTTATATATCTAGTGACTTTAACCGATTTCGGCGGTAAAAGCCGTATGGCTTCTCAGGTTTCCCTTTGCTAATAAGTTATAAAATTAGTACAATGTTATCAGTTTTTTTTACTCTTAATCACTTCATTAACAAGGACGCGTACTTCCGTAAGGATGTCGGGTCTTTGATATCTAATATCTCGATTCGTGGGACACAGCAACGCTTTTTTTGCCAGATTAATGACTTTTCATCTCACATTTTTCAATATTTTCTAACCAAATATTCACATTACTCTGTCATCTTAATTCAAAGCATAGAAAATGGACTGCGCGATCTGTATCTAATTAATGTATCAAATGTGTTCGACAATAATGAGAGAGAGGGACCGTGGGAGACGGCCAATCTCCCTCTCATTCTCTCTCCCATTACACCATTGAATGGAAAGAGATAGAAATGGCCATCTGTCACAGTCCCTCTCTCTCATCTCTATCGACCATTTTGACATACGGATCGCGCAATCCATTCTCTATGTTTTTGTCTTAATTTATTATTAGTCAAATAGGATTCGATTAGGAAATCTAGTACTACTATTTAGGAAAGAGAAATACGCGTGTACGATACAGAAAATTTTGTGAAAAATGGCTTCTGCCAGAAATGTGAGGAGATCTACGCGAATAAAACCTCATGTGAAGTACACAGAAGTCAGTGATGAGGAAACTCCCGTTAGCAGTCGTAAGATTACACTAATATAAATTATTACAAACATTCTTGTTAGATAATATAATTGTTAATTAATATAAATCTTATAGAAGTAGTCTGTTTTTAAGATTTACTCACTTTAATTTGAACTATAATTTGTTGTACATTATCAATGTAATTAGTACAATTTATATTTTTGTAGCACAAACTAATATATTGAATGCTGAGATAGAGGAACAACTAAAAGATATCAAAGAGGATGTACAAAAACCACTTGGTAATTGCTGAAGATTTATAAGGATAGCTATTTTATTCTCATCTAATGTACTGATTTTTTAGAATTATTTTCTGAGAAGGATGTAAGTGGAAGAAAACTGTACGGATTTCAAACACCAACAAAAAGAAATAGCATGATGATCAAAGCTAATCAGTGCCGTACACCTGAGACTCCAAAAAGTTTTAAAACACTTCCAATCTTAAAAATCGTTCTTAACAAGATTATCACAAACCCTGACGATGAAATGGTCAAGAAGGATAGCAAAGGTATCTTGTTTTATAAACATATTTTGTTACAAATTGTAAAAAACATATTTGCATCTTTTAATTTCTTTTTTTCTGATAACTTAGTATCTCGAAAACGATACTTGCCCAGTGTAACTTCAAGTGGCAATGAGAGCATGTCAGAAGACAGTGAATATATACCTTCAAATAATGAAGTCAGTTCAGAATCTTATGAAACTTCTGATAAAAGCGAGGATAGTGACAATTCTGATGTAAGCCAAGAAAATAATATTAGAAGAAAAGTTATACAAAAAGTAAAACCTTTATTGAAACGTGAGGTACAAAATACACCTACGAAATCAAGGAGAGGACGTAAAACTGTTGCTTACAAGGATTATGTAAGTTGGGATTAACAAGATGGTCTTAAATATTTAGCAAATTGTATGTAAATATTTCAATTATGATCCATATATATAGTTTATTGATGAATTTTTTTTTAATATTTAAAGCACATACAAACCGATGAATATTTTGAAACTCAATCAGGAAAAATAGTTACATCTGATCGTACATTAGAAAGACTTAAGAATGCTTGTCTCACTGAAGAATCACTAGGAAAGTTATTAATAAATCAAAGTCATATTTCTAAGATACACAAAAAACGTATTTATTCATTGACAGAAAATTGTACGTCTTTTTTTCCTATGTGGCAATTTATATTGGAGTAAGTATTAAATATGATTGAATATTTTTTAGTGAAATATCATTTTAAAACCTGTGTTATATTTTAGAGAAGGTTACAGTCTGCTACTTCATGGAGTAGGTTCAAAAAGAAATTTGATAAATGATTTTTATAATGAGATTATAGAAGATCACCCAACATTAGTTATAAATGGATTTTTTCCTAGTTTAACACTAAAAGATGTAAGTTAAATCTTTTATTAATTAAAAAGATATGTACGAAAATTATATATTAAATGTTATTTCAGATACTTGATAACATAATAATGGATTTGTTAGACTTAAATTGTCCAACAAATCTTAATGATTGTTTAGAACTTATAGAAACAGTTATGGGAGATAATCCGGATGATCGACTTTATTTATTAATCCACAATATCGATGGAGTAATGCTGCGTTCGAATAAAGCTCAAAATATACTTGCCAGTTTAGCAGCCATTCCAAATATCCATGTCCTAGCATCTGTTGATCACATAAATGCACCAATTCGTAAGTTATATTTATCATTATGCTGATTTTGGAGTTTATTTGTTACTAGTTAATATCTCTAATTTGTTGATTTAGTTTGGGACCATGTAAAACGCGCCAAGTTTAATTTTTATTGGTGGGATGCAACAACATTATTGCCATATCAAGCGGAAACGTCATATGAAAGTTCCTTATTGGTTCAGCAAAGCAGTGGACTCGTGTTATCCTCTCTTCAGAATGTCTTCCTGTCCCTCACGTCAAATGCTCGAGCAATTTATTTGATTCTTGTCGAATATCAATTGAGCAACAATAGTAGTAATTTTACAGGTAATTATTATTCAATCATTTACTCTGTTCTATTATGTCATAGTAACTATATTTGATCATTTCATGATGCCATTTTAGGGATGGCGTTTAGGGATCTATATCGAGCAGCGCGCGAACAGTTTCTGGTTAGTTCCGATTTGACATTAAGGGCACAATTAACTGAATTCATTGATCATAAATTGCTACGAATTAAACGTACAGTTGACGGCGTTGAACATCTGACGATACCTCTTGATAATTCTCTTCTTAAACAATTTATGGAGCAACATGGATCATAATTGATGAACATAAGAAAAAGTAAATATTTTTATAATAGTTGATAATAAGGAAAATAATAGTTTAATGACTGAATTAAACTTTTAATTTCTTTATTACATATCACTAATTTATCGCATTTTATTTTTCGTTCATTGTATTTTATATAAAAAATATTTCATAAAAAGTTATATAGACACCAAAAAAGTACCTCTTAATATTAAAGACCGATAATCTTGAAAATTCATATAATAATAATTTAAATTTAGATTTAGTTCATAATATCATACGGGGTGATCCCGATTGACCACGGCTCGATTGGACACCACCAATCACAGCGACCGGTGCTTAGGAGCTTTGTAGTCTCAAGCGCTGTGAGTGGCTCGTGTCCAATTGAGCCGTGTCCAACTGGGTGCCACCCATATCATACAATGCTTATGACATTAATTTTATAATTTATTATTATCCTGATGTTTCATATGTATCTACATGCATTTAGAACAATAATATTCACATTCGATTTAAAACTGCAATTTTGTTATTCGTATTTGATTATCCATGTAAGCGATTAGGGAGGATCCCGTTTGCCTACAGTTCTGATTGTACACACCACTCATATCAACTAATGTCTAGTAATTTTTTACTGTTTTGCCAATGAGATTATTTTATTTTTAAATTGGCCAATCAGCGATACATGTGTGCAATCGGAGCCCTCCCGATAATTATGGAGAAAAATGATAATTTCACAATATATATCATTGCATCTTAAATATGCATTTTTATTGATGAAATATATGTTTTGTTGATGAAATATAAACCATTTAATATGGCGAATTTTATATTGCATTAAAAGTTAATTATTTAAATACTTATGTTAGTAATAAAAAAATTAATTTGTATAATTGATGATATCGATATTGGTCAATTATCTCTAGTGTTGTTAATTTCCTGGGAAATTTAAATCATCAGGAAAGAACCTATCTTTCCCGGAATTTTTCTGAGGAAAGAACCTGGAACTGGGAAAAAAACGGTTTTTTAATGTAAGTAATTATAAAAATATCAAATCCTTAGCACACACAAAATATATACCTTAATCTTGGAAAATCTGATATTAATTTCTTGAATGGAATGTTAAAAAATACAAAATATAACAGCTTACAATAAAAAGGAGGCACAAATAATAATAATAATAGTGGCAATTTTCCAGCTAGAACACAGAACATTACACTATGTTTTACTGTGTATAAGATACTTGTTGCAACGCAGTTTAGTTTCATAGTGTAACACCAGACTGCATGGTAGTCTTCCATTGTTATTCTTATAATTATATTTAACGTATCAATAATAAATTTATGATTTTTATTTAGACTTAAGTCATAATTTTTTCAGAATTGGTGATTTTTGAGTTTTATTGCAAAGTAAGTACGGTTACCAAATGACTTTTTTGAAAAGTTGGTAACATGTACGTACTTTACACACTTACTACTTAGCTTTTTACAGTGTTGAGCAGTGTAACACTGTGTCATAGTTGGAACACTTTGCGTAAGACACAGTGTTACACTGTGTCACCTGTATACGTTGTTGGAAAACACCCAGTATATGCTTTTACAGTATAAGTTAATTAGATTAAGTTAAAGAAACAAGTTGCTATATTAAATAAAATTGTAAAAAACTTTCTCCTAACATAGTACGTACATACATATATCAAGTTTGTGTGGAACAAAGAGCAACATAAAATAAATGAGAAAAATAAAATTTTAGTAGTTAACACTTGAAGATATATTACGACCATAGGCCATAAATATAAGTATTATAGATACTATAGGTAGTTAAGATAACTGATACGCGTTGATTCATATTGATAATATAACTGATAATATCGCCATTGTTGCCAATGTTGCTATATGTAAAAAAAATATGGTGGACATGGGTTCTTTCCCTCAAAGCGTGGAAAGAAACGTTTTTCGTTCCCGTTCTTT